ACGGAAGCTCCCAACTGCTCCTTTTTTCCTTTTCTTTTTTTTAATTCTGGGCCAGCTTTAGCTTTGAGGCTTGGCTCCAGCTCTTAGGCCTCTGCTGCTGAAAGTAGGCTTCTGGCCTTTGCTTACAATGTTGCAATCCTGCTGGCTGAAGTCCAGTGGTATTTGTTACAGAATTTCTTAAACTGCCCGCACAGAGGCCTGCAGTCGCAGGCGGGGAACGTTGGTTTCCTCCGTCACTGAGGCAAGCAAGCCTCATGTTAGTTTCAAGCTGCCTGGCTGCTGGCCGCCCTCTTGGCTGACAGTTAATTTGCATATCTCGCTGATTAGCCAATGAAAAGGGTAGCAGTCATATGCCAATTACCATGTTTCTCTTTTATTAGTGTAGATTTGTGGAATAAATATATTAAGGTATGTTACTTGCAAAATTATGACTGAAAAATAAGATCTTCAGTATTTGTAAGGAAATGACAAAATATATTTTACCAGTCAAGAATATAAATTGCTTACAACATAAAAATAAATGTTAACAGTAAATGCTAAAATTCTGATCAGGTCTAAAGATCAGAAAGTAGTGCCAAGACATTACACTAGAAATGTCCATGGACAATTTATTAATCTATTAGTTATATAATTTTATTTTTCCCCAACAGGAGAGCCTGACAAGGAGCTGAATCCTAAGAAGAAGATTTGGGAGCAGATCCAGCCTGATCTTTACACCAATGATAAGTGTGTGGCCACATACAAAGGAGCTCCCTTTGAGGTGAAAGGGAAGGGAGTGTGTAGGGCTCAAACTATGACCAACAGTGGAATAAAATAAAATCACATCAAAATATTTCAATTACTGAAATGCATTGGAAAAAACTTTGATGCCAATAAAAAGAAATATATTTGTCACTTATGCCTAAAATATAACTGCCTCATTTTTGTGTTATTTGTCTTCTAGACTGGACTAGTCTGTTACCTAGTATATATTGTTTTCAGTTGATTGTAGAAGCACTGTATTTTTACCTATGATTTTTGACCCTTTATAATGTTGGGAGGAAATGCCCTGTGTTTTTTGGTGATTTATTTTTTAGCAGGGATATTGATGTGAGCAGATTTTTTCTTTATGCATTTTTAGATAACTTGAACTAGATTAGCATTTAGTTTCTTATAGGCACATGATACGTGAAATTTCAAGTCCTTGGATTTTTAGTATATTGTGTATCTGTGCTATAAATGTCCTCTCCTCTTAAAAAATGACAAGTTAAAAGTTGTGCAAGGTTTATCGACTAATCACATTACAATAATATTGAAAATGAACAACTGTTGATTCTTGAGAGCCAAACATCATAAAAGCTAGGAGACATGGCACTTGAACATTATTGCTACTTCTTGCCAAAGTAACCCAAACTTGTATATTTAAAGGCAATTTTTTTAAAAAGACTGAAATTTCCAACTGTGTGTTGAACTTTTCTTTTCATTGAGCAAAGTGGTAATAAATTTTGACTATGAAGCATAAACACATTGCGAAGTGTTGCCAGTATAGTTTCCAATAATTGACCATAAAAGCAGCAGTCTATTTTTTTACTCTAGCTGACCTAAAGATTCCTTGGGCATCTAATAAAACATTATTTATAGCTCTTTATCTTTAGAAGAGCATTTAAGATTGATAAAGTTTGCTTTTTCATGAACCATCACTGTCCATATATTAAAAGAAATGTCAGCCAAAACTTAATATACATTAACATATCAATTGCCTATTTTCACTCGCCTTCTAGATATTCTAGGAACAATGAAAATTAACTTAGGAATCATTAGCTTCAACTTCATCAGACTTGAGATTTGGGCTGCCAAAAAAAGAAATGCATCTATGGAGGTAGGCATATAGATACTGTTTGAAAGAAAAGTCTGTTCTAGCACTGGTTATTTATGCCTCCAATAAGGAGAAGCAAAAACAAAAATTTTACAACAACCCTGCATGCCAGGTTATAAAAGGTATAAGTAAAGTGCATTTATTTAAGTCCATGGAGTTCTGGTAGGCCAGGACACATAATAGAATTTGATATTTCTGAAAAACTGTTTATTAGCAGAGCATCATTAGCATGTGTTGATAACTAAACACAAGTGAGTTTTTAAAGTTATTTTGTACTCAAGATCTATTATTTTTGGAATAAAGAATGTGACAAAGTATTTTGTGATTCTGTATTTTCTAACTTAATTATAACAAATATATTTAAATAATTCTGATATAATTTATAACTAATTCTTCAAGTTACATAAAAGCATTACTCAATTAAGTTATCAATTTAGCTCCATTCAGTAGTTGTTTTTTAAAATGTGTTTTTTTATTGATTTCAGAGAGAGGGAGGGAGAGGGAGAAAGAGATAGAAAAATCAATGATGAGAGAGAATCATTGATTGGCTGCCTGCTGCCTAATGGGGATCAAGCCTGCAACCCAGGAACTGAACCATGAACCTCCTAGTTCATGGATCAATGCTCAACCATTGAGCCACACTGGCTGGGCTATTCAGTCTTTATTTTTATTTTAATTTTTTAAAATATATTCCTATTGATTTTTTACAGAGAGGAAGGGAGAGGGATAGAGAGTTAGAAACATCGATGAGAGAGAAACATCGATCAGCTGCCTCCTGCACACCCCCTACTGGGGATGTGCCCGCAACCAAGGTACACGCCCTTGACTGGAATCGAATCTGGGACCCTTCAGGCCACAGGCTGACACTCTATCCACTGAGCCAAACCGGTTAGGGCTCAGTCTTTATTTTTAAAGAAAACTTAATTTTGTTTTATTTGTATTGTTAGGATGAGAGAGCTCTTATGGAATCAACAACAAAAAAATAGTTGGTGAGCTCTTATAGAATCAACAACAAAAAATGGTTTTAACAGTAGGACATAGTGTTAGTCACACAGTTAGTGCCTCTTGACATCTGTTTCTATGTTGCAAACTAAACCAGAACAAATCTGACCTTACCCCGATACTTTCTCATCCAGGTCGGCCCACTATCATACATGAATATTGGAAGTACTAACTTTTCTTATATTTACAAATTCCATGTATTTTATTTTATTATTTTGAGATGAGTCATTTTCAGGACATGTTGATTTTAATATAAACATTGGAAACATTTTTTTCTGCCTTGTTTCTAAGCCCATCAAACAGATTGGTGTCACTTTTTTAAGATAATGTAAATTCCCATTTAGACTATTTACAAAATATTCAAAGTAATTTATGGAAGTTTAATTGGAAACATGTCATCAGAATAGAAGGTATGGCCCTAGCCAGTTTTGCTTAGTGGATAGAGGGTTGGCCTGTGGACTGACAGGTCCCTGGCTGGATACCCATCAAGGGCACATGCCCAGGTTTTGGGCTCGATTCCCAGTAGGGGGCGTACAGGAGGCAGCCAATCAATGATTCTCTAACATAAGTAAAAGATATATTAAAAAACAAAACAAAATAACTAGAAGGTATGGATAGGGCCTCGTAGAACAACATTAATGAGTTTAACCAGGTCCCAGTGTCTGAGCCTTAGCATTTCAGGCCCCAAGATGATGAGAAATCCATGGAGCCTAGTATTACTGGTTTTGAGGCCAGATTACCTGGTTTTGATTCCTACCGCTACAACTTAACTACCTCTATATTAATTGTTCAGCCTCTATATACCTTACTTCCCTCATGTGTATCATGGATATAAATAATAACATATTTACTTCGTAGAGTTGTGAAGATTGTGTAAGTTAGTATCCCTAGAGTACTTAAAACAATGCCAGTAATATAATAGATGCACATTATGTTGATATGAGTTTATGATAGTGATGTTCTTTTCCAGAAACAAGTGTTTTGGAAACATTTCCTGAGAAATTGAGTTCTTTTTTTAAAAAATATATTTTATTGATTTTTTTACAGAGAGGAAGGGAAAGGGATAGAGAGTTAGAAACATCAATGAGAGAGACACATTGATCAGTTGCCTCCTGCACACTCCCTAATTGGGGGTGTGCCCGAACCAAGGTACATGTCCTTGACTGGAATGGTACCTGGGACCCTTCAGTCCACAGGCCGACGCTCTGTCCACTGAACCAAACTGGTTAGGGCGAGAAGTTGAGTTCTTGTGGAGATTACTTGGTGTACATAAATTAAACAGAATGTCTTAATGAATATTACATATAGGTTGTGACCCTGTCTTTACCAGCAGACCTGATGGTTCCTGTACACCAGATGTAATATCTCTTCCTTGATAGAGATGTTCATTACTAAACTTTCTCTGCACTCCCACCGAAATTCATTTTTTAGACCTTTAGATGCCAGCCAGCCCTATTCATTGATGTTTTTTCACTGGTTTAATATTGATATAAGTCTAAAATAGATTTATATTTTTTGTAGACTAGCAAGACAGTATTTTTAACTGTTGTGTTTAACACAAATAGAAGCACTCGTATTTTCAGGTTTTTGGTGGGTGAGGGAGCACCTCCTTATTGCTTATAATAGGGGCATTAAAGGAGTATAAGTATACCTCCTCAATTTTCCAGGGAAATTTTATATATTGTACCTTTAAAATGTAAAAATGTCAAAAGTGAACAGTATGAACTATGTACTTTAGCTACCTAAATTGTGACAAAAGTCCTGGTTATAAGTGCTGTGCAATGGTGTGAAAACTAACTTTATTATCATGGTACAAAATAAAAACTAGTTACTTAACCTTAAGTAACTCAACTTGCTTTCTTGTGGAGGAAGCTTTGCTCTTCAAATATTTAGTTAAGAAATAACTATGCCCTTTCCTCACAAAAGTTAGGGTGATATATTAATATCTGTCTAGTGTCACGAATTTTATTTTATACGTATTAAGATATTTAATGCTGCCCTAACTGGTTTGGCTCAGTAGATAGAGCGTCGGCCTGCGGCCTGAAGAGTCCCAGGTTCAATTCCGGTCAAGGGCATGTACCTTGGTTGCAGGCACATCCCCAGTAGGGGGTGTGCAGGAGGCAGCTAATTGATGTTTCTCTCTCATTAATGTTTCTAGCTCTGTATCCCTCTCCCTTCCTCTCTGTAAAAAACTCAATAAAATGTATTTTAAAAAAAGAAACTTAAAAACAGTAAATATTATTTATTAAAAAGATATTTAATGCTTTATAGCTAATAAAATACTTTCACAAGCCTTACTAATTTCTTAATTCCCTAGGGGTGCACCAGCCATTTTACCCCAAAGAATCAACAGAAAAGTTAAATAAATGCCTCTGCTAAGATAAAATTAGCTGACCCTAGATCTTCCAATTTTTGCTAATTCTATGTTCTTCTCCATTACAATACACTTGGTTCCATGTCAGCTAGTCACATGGTTTCTTTTCTATGAATGAAAAGTTAAACTTTTGTTTAAACTGTGGGGAAAGATAGTGATAAAAAGAAAACCTAAGCTCTAGTAGTTCATGTAAGGAGAGTATGGTAGCTTCTTTAGTGGAATATTTAAGGGGTTCTCCGGGAAGTCATGAAATGATTAAACATTCTTGGAATTCATTACAAAGAGAATTGATCAGGTTTTCGTTGTTGGGTTTTTTTTGTTTGTTTTTTGCTGCTGAAGTTCTTAGGAAGAATTACTTGGCAAAACCAGGCTGTTGCTGCTGGCAGCAGTTGCCTTTCTAAAGAGGCACATGCCTTGATTCTTTGAATTGTGTACTGTTGAGGGCACTGTTCCTGTAATAACAATTCATCCCAACCTATGAGGGAAGGCACTAAGTTATTTATAGATAATAGATAGATAGATAGATAGATAGATGATAGATAAATGATAGATAGGCAGATATTTTAACCAGGAAGAACTCTTTACAGTTAATACCGTATTTGCAGTCCTACTTGGATAACAACCCTGAAATCTATATATCCTATCTAATAATAGACAAACATGGTAATTAACTGTACCTCCGACATGCTTCCCATTGGCTACTCAGGGCGACATGCAAATTAACTGCCAACCAAGATGGCGGCCGGCAGCCAGGCAGCTGAAGCGAACAGGAGGCTTGCTTGCTCCAGTGAAAGAGGAAGCCAGTGTTCCCTGCCTGTTGCTGCTGGGCTCTGAGATTGCACTCTAAAAAACAATGTTGCAATTATAGAAGCTAAACAAACCCCAGAAACCTGCTTTCAGCAAGCCAGGCCCCAGAGCTGGAGTTGCAACAGTGTTTCAATTATAGAAGCCAAACAAACCCAGATACCTGCTTTCAGCAGCTGAGGTCTCAGAGCTGGAACCGAGCCTCAGAGCTAAAGCCGTCTCTCAGCTGTAGTGACAGCCATAGAAGGTAAATAAATCCCAGAAT